TCCCTCAAGATAGCCAATGAACATTGAAGTGAAAAAGAAGCTGACTATTACTACTTCCCATTTCTTCACACATTTATGAAAAAAGTTGTGCATTCAAAGGATGGCCTTTAATGTAGTTAATGATTTTCACACTTTCATCCAGAACTTTCTGTAGATCAGCTGGCATGTTTCATGTTGCCAAAGTCTCTCTGTGTAGCCAGACTGCACATTGTGCTAATAAATAATAATAATAATAATAACTCTCCCGTGGTCACCACCTGGTCGTGGTGGGAGAGCCCAGTAATTTTACTGAACCATAGGGCAATGCAGGCTGGAGCACAAGCTCCTGGTAGGGACACCCATGCCAGTAAGGTCTATGGGGAGAAATGAAGCTAAGNTGTTAGGAAATTTCTTAATACAGACACTGACACACACATTTAATTTTAGTTTTGTGTTGGTTGCTATGCCTTGACTCTGGTCCGGCATAGTACACAGCCACCGGTTTAAACCGAGTATAACCCACTAAACCCAACAGAATAATAATAATAATAATATTACCCACTAAGCCCAACACAGTGATAATAATATGTATGCACCAATGTGTGGATATGACATTTGGGGCAACATTTTGAATTCTTGCACGAGCCCTTTATTAATTCCGACCATACTTTTTGCTCCATCTGTGCTTATTCCAACACATCTATTCCAATCAGTTTTGTTTTCTTGCATAGATTTATTCATAACATTAAAGATATTTTCTCCTGTTGTGTGATCTGATAAAGGCTGACAAAATAAAAAGTTGTCATGAATTTCTTGATCCTTTTCATATCTAAAAATGCCATAAGATTTGCAAAATTCACAATATTAGTGGACTCATCGATTTGCAATGTATAATTTAGAAATATCAGACAATAACATCTGTTTTACATTATTAGACATATCAATGATTCGTCAATGAACTGTATTATTTGAGAGGGGAACACAGTCAAAAGTTTGTTTCGCTCTATCTCCTTTCATTACTTCTGCCATTATCTTGGCTGCAGGCTTGATTAAAGTTTCACCAATTGTCTCCGTTGCACTATATTTCACAATTAAAAGCGACATGCAATATGAAGCTTCTAGGATTTTTTGATTGTCACCTCTTGTCAAACCCCACTTTACTTTTTGAGACTGATTTAAATCCTTAAGTTTGTTTTCAAAGAATCGATGGGTTTATCTTTGTACTGGTTGTGGTCTCAAAATGGCACTTTAAGTTGGAAGGTTTCATGCTTTCATTTGTTAGATTTTCAAAACAAATGATGCAAAGTGGAATAGGCTCTTTTTCATCTCCAGTCCATGAGAATCCAAATTTTAAGATATTCTTTGTCATACTTGCGAGTTTTCTTTGCTTTTTTCTTAACTGGTTCTTTTAGAATTGAAGTGGTTCTCCATTGTTAATTTCATTATTTTCTGTTTGTTGAATGCTAGTAAAATTACTGCTTTCTTTCAGTTTAGAACTTCCAGATTTCAACCAGCGATCCATAATTTTGAATGTTAGGGATAAAAATTACATTTTGTAAAAATAATCAAAATCAATGGGACTTGCCATACATTTCTAAATTCTAAATTCGACAGTTGGCTCAACAGTGAATTTTTCATTTAGTCCCTCCATTGAATGATCTGACGTCACGTTTTGTAGAAAAAAAGAAATGCTTTCGTTGAGAGTAATGTTGAGAGGTCGCTTTTCAAGACTTAAGTAATGAGAAGGTGGCAATTGTGACAGTTTTGTTAAATAGTATTTCTGAGAGTAGAGGGGGTTATGAGATGTTTTTTAAATCAAAACCCAAAGATAACGAGGATATTCCATTTCCATATGCTGCTGCAATTGAAAAAAAAAAAAAAGCCATAATAGAAGGCTATGTGGAAAATATCGTTTTTAGATATAGCGATATGGACTTTATGTCTCATTTTAGTCTTTCTAGAAGCACTGTGGAAGTAAGTCTCTGCTAAGAATTGTTAGTTGTTGTTACTATCTACAGAAAAATTTCTTTATTCAGCATTTTTAGCTTTTTATTAATACTAAAGCACATAACAAACGTTTCCTATTAGAAAAATCGCACAAAAGTTAAAAATACATACGCACACTGTAACAGTTCAATATTAGATACTGGATGTTTCTGTGTGACACTGTTGTCTGGGCCATAGGGTGGAGGAATGCACAGAATCATAGCACCCAACGAAACCACTAACAAGTAACAAGTAATAAAAGTTTATTATTATTTTTCTATGTTTGTAATCGAAAAAAAGTAAACTGCTTGTTGCACCAGGCACAGCCAAATCGCGGTGCAGTGTGTACCCCCGCTAAACTTGTCCCATACCCCTGGGGGTACGCGTACCACACTTGGGAAACACTGCTCTATACAATGCTCTATTGTCGTGTTTATGTAAATATTATTGTTTGAAATATTTTGATTTCAAATTAAATTGTTCTCATCCTGTTTGAAATCATGATGTAAGTAGCTAGAAGAAGAAGATTAAATTTTAAACATGATATAAGTAAAACTTATGTTTAAAAATTTAATACATATATTTAATACAATAACAAAAATTTAAACATGATATAAGTAAAACTTATGTTTAAAAATTTAATACATATATTTAATACAATAACAAAAATTTAAACATGATATAAGTAAAACTTATGTCATGTTTAAAAATTTAATCTTCTTTATCAAGTTTGTAATCAAAATATTTTTTACAGCATACAGTATTTCTAACACAAATACAGTTTTATATTTATATTTATACACAAATATAAAACTGTATTTGTGTTATAAACATTAGCTAAAATTCATCTTCAGCATATAAGGTCTAAAAATATTTGGTAATTTCTGCCGCGAAACATTCAACAATTGTATACGGGAAAATATTTTCCCCGTGTGCAATTGATCTATTTCCTCCAGTTTGCTCTAAGAAGCTAAAACCTGATTGCTCTAACAAGACCGATGCTGATTCTATTCACAGTTTGCTAAAAACAAATCTACTAATGTCAACTGAGGAGCTTTCTGGGATATTAAATTTTGATCAGTCGATGGCATTCCCACATACGAGTATCCCTTGTATAACACGGTAGTTACGTTCGTAGAAAGTGCTGTGTTATGAGAATTCGTGGTTTACGAACAAAGAACTAATACAAAACATGGGGTTAGATTCCAAAAGTTAACAAAAGTACACTATTCTTTTTCGTTACTAGAAGAAATACGTTTATTAAAACAATCAATAATTAACTAAAAATCACAATTAAAAGTACTGTACTGTATGACGCATTAATATTTAGTTAAATGAGGGCGGTTTTTTTTTTTACAATGTGTCATCGTCTTCTGAGTGTTTTTCTTGATCTTGATCACAAATATCAGTAACGTATTCATTTTTATTTTTACCATAAAATTTTTTTATATATAACAGAGTAAAAATATGTTATTAATCGAAAATTTGTTCTAGTGGGTCGCGTTTGTCAATCGACGGTCGAACGATTTTTTCCAGAATTCGTGTTCAAATACAGAATTGTTCGAGTTAGATACCGCTTTATTTCGTTCGTCATTTGTACGAATGGTTATTTACTTACGGTTAAAAAAAGGTTTGTAACACTTACCTAAAAGTGTCTAAATAAAATTTTTTACTAAATACGAAGATTAATCTATAAAAACAAAACTCAGTGACAGTTTTAAAGACAAAAATCTGAAAACGACGACGACGACACTTGGTTAATAGGAAAGCTAGGACAAGGAAGAAGAAAATTGTACTATCAGTTTTCGTTATAGTAAATTTGACGAAAGACACAACAAATTGAAAATTTCAATATTCTAAAATCCGTTAGCAAATTTGAGATAGCATGTGTGCTTGCTTACTTGAATAAAAAAAATGTCGAATAAAGGAGTTTGAACTTAAAAGTTGTTAAAGTTTGTATGAGAGATTTCCCCAATTTTCGAACCGTGATATACGAGGAATACTTTTATTCAGAAAATTGGATATTTCCAAATTCAAAATTTTTTAGGTTTCGTATTTGTTAATCGATAAGAACAAAATGGATTTAGAATCATATGGAAGTACTTGCTCAATTGACTGGCTAACAATTCATTTTTGACTGCGGGCTAAAGGGATGAAAAGCGCATTGACTACCGCAGTACCCAGCGTATAATTTAGCTTAGGACCAAAGGAATGAATTTTTACGAAATAATTCGAATGTGCAGCCTCGTCAGAGGAACCGGATAATTTGTGAAAAACGTTCAGCTTCGACTAATTGAATAGGATAGTTTTCGAAACTTCGCGATAATGCTAACCACAGTCTTCCCCAGATCCAAAGGAAATGAAGTTAATCTTCTGATTGTTTTGTTCTATACAAAACAGCTCAAACAGAAGAAGAAAAAAATGTTTAAATCTGGATAAGCTGTAAAAATCATATGAATTTATTTTTTATGAATAAAAACCTATCAATTTTTTATGACAGAGTATCCGAATGTTATCGGAAAGGTATCGCCAAAAATGATAAATACATTATCGATTGAATAAATTACTTTGTTTATTAATTAGTTGTTTTTATTATTATTATTTTTATATAAAAACATGTGGAGACTTTTTCAATTAGCTAATAAAAAATGTGACCGCTGATCATAAATATGCTATAACCATAATTCTTACGAAAAATATATATGTAACATTTAGGAACAGTCACAAGAGCTACACAATAGGATAAGAAAATCGATGTTCAATTATTCGTAATTCAGTTTTATTGAAATGAAACAAAAAAAGGTAATTTTAGAGCAAACGTAAGGCATATTGATTATAACTAATACGCTATTGATATTTTAATAGGTAAAGAAAGTGAGCTTTTATTTGTTTGACATAGACGATGTTTATAATACCGACGTACACAAAAATAGATACTTGTTATTTCAAAACGTAAAATGATAATTAGTATAAAGCCACCTGTAATTAATCAATTACATAATAAAATAATGCAGTTTTCTTGTTTCTTTGGCTAGTGTTACAATTGCGAAGCAGAAGCCATCTACCACTGTTGTTGGAACACTTCATACTGCAGCGTCGACTGTCAGCAGATCCACTGGCACAAGGAGCACAAACGGACCTGTCGTCGCAAGCGATAGTCGTCAGTCGTCCCCCCGCGGTCCCTGTTTCGTTCATCGTCGGTTCCCGGTCGAAATCTCCCCAACGCCGGCTCAGTTCATTTTTAGCCCGCGCAGTCCCAAGGCGGGGAGGGTCCGGGCCCGACTGAAAATTGTCGGTTTTAATCTGATCGGTAACGCATTTACTAAAGCCACAGTCGCCTTCCCTTCGATCAAAAGAGTGGAAAGGTGACCACCGTTCTCCTATTTTGTGTACGACTGGACATTTCCAGATATTATTTAATTATTCGTCGGTGTTCTCATTTTATGAAACGACGATCGTGCCATGGGTACGTGTAAGATACGATCGTCGAAATACGACAGGTGGGACCAAAATTCTATCTACAGTCGATCGGAAAGAATAAAGGGATTTGCCCGGCGAGGATAGTTTGGCGGCGGAGGGGCGAAATTTCGTCCGGGACGGCACCGTCGAGCCCCGGCGGAAATTTCTAGCACTGGACAGGCAACCGGGGCGGAGCGCGGGTGTGGGTCGCAGCCCTCTGGTGGTCGAACTGGGCGTCGAATTAGTATATATAATATATAAAGGCCGAGGATATATTTTTCTTCGAAAAGCATTTAATAGAAATTGTCAGGATAATCGGATATTTACGTCTTCGATATTCTTCTCTTCTGTCCCCTCGACATGTTCCTTTCTTATTTTTGATCCGCCTCCTATATTTATTCTCCCCAGTAAATCGATAGTAAATTAAAGCGACCCTTTTAAATTCTTTCTTTTATTGTCTACCGACGTAAATTTTATAAGTAATTTATAAACGAGCGAAAATTATTTTAATTTTCACTAATAAAAGACGGAGAAACTCACTTCCGGATGTCTTTTTTTTCCCATTGTTTCATTATGCCTCTTACCCATGCCGGTGCAATCACTAATTTTTCAGAAGCCCTTTATCCCAGTGGCTGTATGTCAGATTGAAAGCTGCGCATCTTTCCAGGATTTAGCTTAAGGTTTTCCACAGGGCTTGAAGATAATAACTCGCGCGTATTTATTTCTAACTAAATTTGGATGCGCGCTTATGTAAAATACAACTTAAATACTGAAGAAAGCACAAAATGTGGAAATATTTTCCGAAACTTTTGCCGAAATAGAACAAGTTATATTGATACTTTTTGCGCATCAAAAATTATCTGTCAGTATTCAGTGGCTAAAACTTGTTTTTTGGGTGGCGAGGACTAGCTATAGTCTGTTTCACATTTCAAATGGAGCTGACATACTGTAGTTCTAATACAAAGAAGAAAAATAGTTGTGTGTATAATATAGTTTAAAACTAGTGGAACGAAAGATGTTATAGAGATGACTTGGAAAATTCGGACGTCTGTGAAGTTATATATGACATTTTTATTTCATCATTGTTAGTTCTTGGAGTTATAAAGACTTATTTGTGCATATACCATGTTTACGCGTATACTTTTTTCTGAAAATATTAGTCAAATATTGGAGATAAACAACAGCAGTAGTGAGGAATTAAATAACAATGCGAAATGAGTAGTTATTGATAATTTCTTATCCAGTTCTTCACTGTTGCTGTTGTTGACTCGTCATCAACTTTGTCGTCAGAAGATTTGCCCAGAAGCATCGTCTTTACTTCCATCATCGCATTAGATTTCAATATCATTTCTTGGGGTTTTGACATCCTGTAGACACTACATTCGCATATTTGACACGATGACGCTCCTTCAAGTGTCTACTAGTGCCATTTCCGAAAAATCACTTTCATTTGCGATACAGCTGCCACAAATGTACTTTAAAGAGGCAGTTGACTGATACATTAAGAGATTCAAGATATTGCTTCTTGATATTTGCATCATGTCACATTTTTCTTTATACTTTCCTACACTTTACCATATATCATTGGAAATTGTTAATCACCAATATAGTATGGCAAAGAAAAAACTTGTCTAGTCGCAAAAACCAAAGTGACTAACCAATCGTGAAAGAGATGTTTCATCATCAACGATTTTCTTTAACCTATACCAAAATTCCCTCTAATAATTTCCCATTCAGAAATGTTCTTTATTTAAACACCATAAACAATGGTAGTTGTTAATTTAATTGCTTTGATGTCCTTAAATCGTACTTTAGTCTAAAAATTGTCAACTTGGACTTACAGGATTATAGGACTATTACACTGGTGTACCGGATATTTGCAAAAGGAGTTCTTAATCAGAATAACGAAAAATCCATTTTTTCACCTGTAGTATTTCCTGTACACACGATATACGTGTTTCGGACAAATAGGCCCCCTCTTCAGCAGTTTTACTACAACGATTTTCTAAAAATTTTTAATAAATTACAATAATTTAAAAACTCGACAATAAAACGTTAAAAACTTACGGATTTTTCGTATCCAATTACTGTACTTCAAAATATGCGTAAATCACATTTAGAATAATTATCATTTTAACATTGCATAAATATATGTTTTTATATTAAAATAAGGAAAAGTTAAAATTATTTTATAAAAATATAAAAATTATCTCAAATTGATTAAACTTACTTAACAAACTTTGTTCGCATGAACTAAGTTTAATCAATTTGAGATAATTTTTATATTTTTATAAAATAATTTTAACTTTTCCTTATTTTAATATAAAAACATATATTTATGCAATGTTAAAATGATAATTATTCTAAATGTGATTTACGCATATTTTGAAGTACAGTAATTGGATACGAAAAATCCGTAAGTTTTTAACGTTTTATTGTCGAGTTTTTAAATTATTGTAATTTATTAAAAATTTTTAGAAAATCGTTGTAGTAAAACTGCTGAAGAGGGGGGCCTATTTGTCCGAAACATGTATATTGTGTGTACAGGAAATACTACAGGTGAAAAAATGGATTTTTCGTTATTCTGATTAAGAACTTTTCCTTTTGCAAATATCCGGTACACCAGTGTAATAGTCCTAATAGCCCAATAAGTCCAAATTGATAATTTTTAGAATAAATGATAGCTTGTTTTCACCAGCAATGATGGCTAACATGATGATACATGTTGCTATCCCTTGTCCTTAATTGCAATGTGTTTTCGCCTGCCATTTCGAAAATTAGTCATTTCATCAGCATATTGATAGCTTCTAGGTTCTAATTGTGTTCTTTTATTAAAGAAATAATGTTTCTAGAACTGGAGTAATTTGTCTTTGTTTCTGGAAGTCGTTGTGACATTGATGTATTCTGCTCTATGGCAAGATCATGTTGAGTCATAAATTGATTCGTCCAATCATAGTTTTCCTTAAATTCATTAAGAGACATTTTCTGCCTCTGCTATCAGTGCTTTACAATAAGCATTTTACTGATATTGAAAATCTATTCACTATCATATAATTATTAAATTTCGCTGTAATAACAGATAAGGACTAATTATACACCAAAAAATCTTGTATTAACTACTATAAATCTCGGAATGCATTTTGGCGTTTGGCTCTTCTCAGTCGGTCCAATGGAAATGGAAAAATAATGCGTGTCGTATCCTGACACGTGACACTCCTTGATCTCCCACCTCAACCCTTAACCACCAAAATTTAATAGCATCAATGACCCTTATATACATGATAGCATGCCAAATTTCGTTACTTAATCTTTACCCCATCCTGAGATATTCCGTATTTTTTTTTCCTTTCACTTCTGTAATTTTCTGTAAGTGAGAATCAGAGTAAAGAAAAGATTTTTATCTTCTGAATGAAATATTTGTGGATGCTGGATGCAGTTTCCAAATGTTGGAAGCACGATATCACAGATTAGAATAATGATTTCTTCGCGAGTTGGCTCCAAGTCACTTCCAGAATTACATGTGGTTATGGAAAATGTTTAATTTGTAGTCTACATAGATGGATTTGTTGGAGGAGTGTTTTTACTTTTTGTATCACACCACAAAGGTAATTATTGTCAAGAAATGGACAGTTTCTGCATTGAAGAATAGTTCAAAAAATTTACATTACCATGTGGAAACTCTTACAATCCATAATGATTATTTGTTTCGGGTAATGCAAGATAACATAGCATTCTTTCTGAGACTTTACTTGAAACGTTATGGGAAAAAGAAATAGTTTATGATTGATTAACTGAGGAAGTAATGCTTGTTCCGTATCATCAGAAATCAGAAAAAGATACAAAATCATCAAAGAAATCTGTTTCTATTCTTATTCTGTTTGTTCTATCAGAAATCGATCACAGGATTGGAATGATGTCAAATTTGACTCCGAAGTTTTTGTAAAACTCCACGTTTTGAGATCTCCAGTGAAGTTCACAATGGTTGATCCGTTCGATCATTCTCGATGAACGGTCTTTTCTTTCGTTTAAGGAACGTGTCCGGGTTCACCAGACAGACACCTTACGGCCCGGGTTGATGTACTGTACAATTCCTTATTGCTAACTGGATCACTTCGGCGGATAAGTCCGTAGAGTCTGTCACTACCGTTTGACTCGCAACAAAGAACTTTTCGTTTTGATATCTGGTCGACGCCTCGCTGTAGGGATCCAGAGAAACGTGAACTTGAAACATTCCAAGGGACAACTAAAAACTGTCCTGAAGATCGTTGTCCCACCCTTTTAAAGGATTCTGTCGGTCCAATCCGATGCATGGTCAGTACCTCCAGGTCCGCCTCATTTGGGTACGCTGACCAAGTTGGTGACGATGCGTCACGCCAAGCTTACCCTTTCGGAAAAACGGAACCTCTCAGGTCAGGTGACAGACAAAATCGCTTTATCTCCGACATTTCGTTTGGACTACATGACACCTGAAACCAAATAAGTAAAAAAAAAAAGGAAAAAAAAATTCCGTAGATGTATGTATATTGGAGTCTGTTTCGTTTTGATATCTCAGGATGAGGTAAAGATTAACAAATGAAATTTGGTATGAAATAAGGGACATTGATGCTATTAAATTTCGGTGGTTAAATATTGAGGGGTGTTGATATGGAGGAGTGTCACGTGTCGTATCTCGAGAGAGAGGTCAGTCAGATTTAATGAAGTTTTTCTTGTTGGAATTTACAGTTTTTTTAAATCTTATAACAGATGGCGCCACACGCAATTTTATTTATTATAAATAAAGTTAGTGTTTTTAAAATCTAAATACAGCCGGAACAGTTACACAACCCGTTGTTAAATTTTAAAAATAATGATAACTTCATTTTTTCATTCATCACACTCAGTCTTGGGCCCATTGCGTAGAAATTACAAGTTACAATCTGCAAGTCGTAAAACATTAAAAAGTTCTCTGAGTTTTTAAAGTCAAAACAAATTTTTTTAAGATTTTTAAAATTCATATAAAATTAACGAAGTCAATGTTGAAAATTCTGAATCTTAGGTTAATAGAATTCCATTCCTTTCCGTCATAGAGGAGTGTATTTCTGTTCGCTTTTACTCCGAAGAGAAGAGAGACAGGAGATAGATCGCAAGGCGACGGAAGAGCTGGCCTTATAGAAGACGGCCGGAAGATACACGAAGGGAGATAGAATGCCTTCCGGGATGACTTATGGGGAGCTGGCCCCTATTTAGGTGTCATCTGCAAGCAGAAAACTCCAAGCTACCAGTCTGTCCAATCGAGATGCGAACCCACAACCGAACTC